AGCTGGAGACATGTTTTAATGTGAGACATGTTTTTGGAGGCTGAGGCGGGCAGATCGCTTGAGCTCAGGAGTTTGAAACCAGCCTGAAGGCAGCATGGTGAAACCCCATCTACAAAAAATACGAAAATTAACCAGGCATGGTGTTTTTTTGTGCCTGCAGTTCCAGCTATTCAGGAGGCTAAGATGAGAGGACTGCTTGAGCCGGGGAGGTTGAGGCTGCAGTGAGCCATGATCATGCCACTGCACTCCAGCCTGGACAAGAGAATGAAATCTTGTTCAAAAAACAAAAACTAAAACATGTCTCTTTATCACTAAATCTACACCCAGCCGTCAAAGAGGAAATATGTATCCCATTAACAAATAATTACTAAATATCTACTATGTTCCTAACACCATGTCCCATTAACAAACAATTACTAAATATCTACTATGCTCCTAATACCAGTCTAGGCACTAGAAATATACCAATAAGCAAGAACAAGACAATCCGTACCTTCACAGAACTTAAATTGTAATGGAGGGGAATGTCAAACCACTTATTAAATTAGATAATATACATAAAGCATTCAGAATAGTGACTGGCATATAGTAAATGTTCAATAAATATCTGATTCGCTATAAATATTACCTCTAAGTTTCTGGGTCATCAGCCTTATGCAGACTAAAAAGTAAGCCTTCCTATTCATCCAGCTAAAAACCAAGAGATTCTCTAGATGGTTTTGTACTGAATGTCCTTACTTTTGATCAGCAGGCCATCCTTTAGAGAACTGTCTCCCTCCCACAATCTTTATCTTGTAGACCTACACAGAAGCACACAGGTCCAGTTGGATTTCCTTACTCAGGAATTGGAATTACAGGAGAGACAGGAAATGAGAAACACCCAGAAGTCCAGGGATTCACATGGCTGAGCTCCACATGGACCTATTTCTGCCAGCACCACTTGGCTCCTATCCCTCTTGAGGCCTGGCTGTTCAGATCCTAATTCACTTATTCCAATAAACCTCTTTCTCTTGCTGAAAATAGCCGGAATTGTGTTGCTTACAAAGAATCCTACCTGATACAGTTGTGTGAAATAAGATCATTCTACAAAAAGTAGTGTTTACAACCAAATACAACTGCCAAAACTCATTAAACTGTACCTTTAAAATGAGTGAATTTTACTATTTGCGAAGTATACCTCAATGACACTGGGTGGGGAAAGCATTTTATTTAAAAGTGTAAACAGCACACTTATTCTGAATAATAAAATATTTTTAGGTTATTTCCACGTACATTAATTTCATTATGCTTTATGACTAAAAAGCTTATATGGTTATCCCTCCATAGCTGCAGGGGATTGGTTCTAAGATTCCAGCAGATCAAGTCCCTTATATACAATGGTGTAGTACAATACCTAATGCAATGTAATTGATAGGTAAATAGTTGTTTACTGTATTTTTTATAGGAGTCTCGCTCTGTCGCCCAGGCTGGAGTGCAGTGGCCAGATCTCAGCTCACCGCAAGCTCCACCTCCCAGGTTCACACCATTCTCCTGCCTCAGCTTCTCGAGTAGCTGTGACTACAGGCGCCCGCCACCTTGCCAGGCTAGTTTTTTGTATTTTTTAGTAGAGACGGGGGTTTCACCGTGTTAGCCAGGATGGTCTCGATCTCCTGACCTCGTGATCCACCGTCT